ATCAAATATATACAAAGTAAACTGTATACAGGATAAATAGGAAATAATGAACAGAGGGATTGCACTAGAGTTAAGAGAAGTTTGGGAAGGCTTCCAGTAAAAGATGAGATTTTAGTTGGGATTTAAAGGAAGCCAGGGGGGCCAGTAGTTGGAGTGGCTTCCTGGCTGCCTTCCTGGGTAGATACATACTAATACATCCAAATCGCAGAAACCTCAGTGAACTTGGGAATGTAGTCATGGTCTTCCCAAACCCTGGAGACTCACTTTGGTTTGAGTTGGCTTCCAAAAACCATGAAGTGAATCAATCAAAATGCATTTATTAACCACCTACACTATGTGCTTGGCATCATGCTAGACGTTGAGGATGTGAAGTAGCAAGAAGATTCCACAGCAGTAGCCAGCACTGAACTATCGGTAGATGGAACCCATACTTCCTTCTGGTTAAATCTCTCTCTACATACTGTAGTCTTTCCTGCAAGGACAACTTAATGAAACCCAGCTTGTAGGGACTCAGCATTAACACTTTTAAATTCTGACTCAGCTCCCTGTTCTCGCTCATCTTCACAGTTGCCCCTGTCCAGAGTGCTAAGAGTGGGAATAAATGATGTGCCAAGGGAAACTGCAGAGAAAAGGCAAAAGGCTGAGAATAGAGGAGAATTCTTCTTAAGGGATAGTAAGGACAGTAAAGAAGACAAGGGGCCAGTGAAGAAAAAGTAATCATTAGAAAAGTAGACATAGAAACAGTCAAGTGTGGTGTCTCTGAAGTCAAGGGAAGAGAATGAATTTAGTAGTGGGGATTGAGAGTCAACAGTATCTCTTGCCATGGAAAGATCAAGGAAGGTGAGGACTGAAAAGAGAATATAGGGGCTGTCAACTAGGAGGTCATTAGTGACTTTTCAGAGAGCAGTTTCAGTAAAGTGGTGGGGACTGAAATGAGATTGCAAGGGAGAATGGAGTGGTAAGGAAGTTGAGGCAGCAGATATAGACAACATTTTCAGGGTTTGCAGTGAAGGGTACAAAGAAGATGCAATGTTAGCTGGATGGGGTAACAAGGTCAAGGATCAAAGAAAAGTTTTTCTAGGATTATGAACTTTCAAGTAAAATGTACATATTGCTGCCAGATTTTTTTAAATTATATTGTCTCATCCTGCTCAAAACCCTTTAATAACTCATTGGTGACCAAATAGAATCCGTATTCCTGGCTGGCATATAAATTTACATACCCCAACCTATCAGAAGCTTTTCGTGCTGTTTCTCAAATATGTCCTCATATTTTCCACCCCTGTGACTGCTCCCTTATTCTTGCCCTTGCACTCCAACTCTGCCCTGCCAAAGGCAGACAAAATGGGAGCACCCCCCTGCTTTACTCAAGACATTCTTTCCATCTGCGTTGCCCTCTCCATTTCCGTCTCCATATAAGGGCATTCAGCCCAGCTCAGAGGCAAACTCTTCCATGAAGCCTTCCCTGGTTACACTAACCAGAAGTAATCTTTCTTTTCTCTTAACTCCCATAGCACTTTGTACTTCTCTTAAGACACTTTTTACATTCTACCTTGTATTGTAATTACTCATGCAAATGATGTATTAAGGACATGGACCTTGACTTATTGATATCTTCTAACCCCCAAGCTTGAATAGAATTTAGCAGATCCTTCATAAATATCTGTTGAATAAATGCATGAAATCTACCCAGTGGAAGATGTCCAAGTGGAAGTATTTTTGGAAATAGGAAAGCAAGCTAGTTGGAGTACAGAAAGAAATAAACTGTTAAACTGCTAATAAGAAATTCAGACTGTCTCTGAAACATTTTACTATAGCACCTGCATTCTTTGGGAGGAGTTGACTACTGTTGTTGTCCTGGAAAAGAAGATTCAAAAGAGAGATGCCCGCTGTGAACTCCTTGTCTCATCTTGAGTTTCTTGCAAATTTCAACATCTTGAATATGCTTCTGACCTGGGACTTGGGAACAAACTCAAATGTGCCAACAATATTCTTAATTCTCCGAACTTAAAACCATTCATTCATTCATTTATACATTCGACCCTGTTAGCCTGACTTCAGATCTAGTGCTCTTTATGTCACACACTTTATGCTGGAAAGGTAAAACCTAAACAAAATGGATGTTACAAATAAGAATGTGATAAATGCATGAAAAAGTTCCAACATACTATGCTTGTGGAATAAAATTGATTAATAGAGGGGTGTGTGTGTGTGTATGCGCTCGCGCGCGTGTGCGTGTGTGCATGTGTAAGAGATTCAGTGTGGTTATTGTGTGCAGACCAGTTTTAGATGCTAGGTGATATACAAATCAGACATGACTCTTAACCTCATGAAGCTTTTGGTCTAATAAGAGGGAAAGACACATGCACATGTGAAGTCCAAGGAGGAAGGGGACGTCAAGGGAAAGCTTCATGGAGGACATGGCATTTGATTTAGGAATTCAACAGACAAGGTGCAGAGATGGGGTGAGGAGATGGGAAAGGTAGATATCACAGGTATAGGGAACAGCATGAACAAAGATACAGAGGTGGAAAAGCAGAAGAAATATTTAAAGGGTTGAAGAATAGTTCAGTTAGGCTTGAACATTGGACTATGGGAAGAAGTAATAGGACATAAGACTCGAAAGATAGGTTGGTGGCAGAATGTGGTAGAGAATAGGAAACTACTGAAGATTTCTGAATAGAGTGGTGTGTTTAGGTCTGTGCATGTTTAATAATAATAACGGAGTAGCTAGGTGGCACAGTGGATAGAGCACTGAGCCTGAAGTCAAGAGGACCTGAGGTCAAATGCGGCCTCAGACCAAACACTTGACACTTACTAGCTGTGTGACCCTGGGCAAGTCAATTAACCCGGATTACACATCTTATTTAATCTTCATGACAACCCAGAAAGAAACAGTATTTTATTCTTTTAATTTATTGTATTATGAATTTTAAGTTTTTAATTTTAAAGATGAGGAAACTGAGTCAGAGAAGGTAAAAGATTACTTATCTAAGGTCACATAGCTAGTGTCAGAGTTGAAAAGCAAAGCAGAATCTACTCCATGATGCTTCCAATTCTGAACAAACCAATAAGAATAAGAAGAGTTAGTCTGGCAACTACATTAGGGATGGGTTTGAATAGAGGAAGACCTGTTCACAGTCCATGGCACTAGTCCAAGAGCTTGGTAGTAAGGGCCTAAAGGAGGACAATGGGAATAGAGAAGGGGATTGATTAGAGAGATGTTGCAAAGCTGAAATGAACATATAACAGATTGGTTGGGAGACCAAAAGGAAAGAGAAGTCAAGGTTTCTCCCACGGAAGACAAAATGAATGGTAATGTCACTGACAGAGGAAAGGAAGTCGGAAGTACTGAGTCTGAGTTGAACAAAATTGAGTTTTTGAGATCACTACATCATCTTCATTAAAGTGCTTGATTATATGCACCCTATAATAATAAAAGAGACCGTCAGTCAAGGGAAAATTGTTGTTGTAGAGTTATTTCAGTCATATTTGACTCTTTGTGACCTCATTTTGGGGTTTTCTTGGCAAAGATACTGGAGTAGTTTGTCATTTCCTTCTCCAGCTCATTTTACACATGAGGAAACTGAGGCAAACAGGGTGAAGTGACTTACTTGCTCACTGAGGCTGAATTTGAACTCATGAAAGTGAGTCTTGGGGCAGCTGAGTGGCTCGGTGGATAGAGCACTGGCCCTGAAGTCAGGAGGACCTGAGTTCAAATCTGGTCTCAGACCAAACATTTGACACTAGCTGTGTGACCCTGGGCAAGTCACTTAACCCCAATTGCAAAAAAAAAAAGTGAGTCTTCTTGGCTCCAAGTGCAGTGCTGACAGGAAAGGCTAGGACATAAACATGATTTTTTTTTGCTTTGCGCTATGAAGACAGGCAGCCCAAGTGTAACCTGGCACAAAGAGAAGGACTGCTGAATCTGCTGTGATTGAGTTGCCTTCCAAAAGCTATTGGAATCAATCAATCAACAAGCATTTATAGGTCCCATTAATGCGGAGTGGCAAGAAGATTCCACTGTCCAGCTGGCTTTGAACTACTGAAAAACCCTATTCAACTAGATGTCCTCATTCCTACAAAGGCAGCCTAATGAAACTCAGCGGGGAGGGGCGATCAATCAATCAATCAATCAATCAATCAATTAATAAGCATTTAGTAAGGTTTCCTATGTGCCTACTTGGCACTGTGCTATGATGATAAAAAGAGAAAAGCAGAAACAGTCCCTACTCTTAAGGAGCTTCCTGGAGCTTCTTTGGTTTTGATTCAAAGGCCAGCCTAGCCAACATTTATTAAACACTTGCTATATACAGGGCATAGTGCTAAGATGCCAGGAAAACAGGATCTCTATCCTCAATGAGCTTATAATAAGGAAGACAACATGAAAATAACTACAAACATTTACATATATACACATACATATACATATGTGTGTATATACGCGTGTTTATATGTATGGGAGAGGGCAGGAAAAGATTCTTGCAGAAAGTAGGATTTGAGTTGAGTCTCAACCAGGGAAGTCAGAAGACAAAGATGAGAAAGTACAGGGGACAGTTAGTGAAAAGGCATGGAGCTGGAAAAGGAGACTCATGGAAGGAATAGGAAGAAGACCAAGGTAGCCCGATCTTAGAGGGTGTGAAGGGTAGTCAAGTGTTAGAAGACTGGAAAGGGAGAAAAGTCCAGAATGTGAAGGGGGAAGGCAAGAAAACAAGCGTTTATTAAGCGCCTACTGTGTTCTAGGCATTGTGCTTTACAAAAATCATCTCATTTATGAGGAACTTTAAAAGCTAAAATTCTGTATATTGGATCCTGAAGGCAAAAGGGGCGGGGGTGGTGACTTTGGTCTTTGGACTTTGGTAAAAGGGCTGCATTTTGAGTAGCAGTTTGGAAGCATTGTGTTGTCTGCTGAAAGTTTTTTTAAAAAAAGTGTTCCACTAATGCCAGATCCCAAAATAAATCGTTGTCTAATACTAGGAATGGGGAGTAAGCAACCAATAGCTTCCCTGGTGAATGAAGTGTATGCCCTTGAGCAATGTACAGCCTCGGAGTGCCCTTTGGAAGGGTCTTTCCCGTTGAGTGCATTGCAGAAGTCCAGGCAGGAGGCAGGTCAAAGCACGCGGCTGTGGTGAAATCCTGTGTGGAGAATTGTGGTGAAATCGATGCGGTAAAGGTCATACAAGTTTCTGTGCCAAAGAGATCTGTAGAAAGAAATAAGGAAGGAAGGAAGGGAGGGAGGGAGGGAGTGAGGAGAGAGAGAGAGAGAGAGAGAGAGAGAGAGAGAGAGAGAGAGAAAGAGAGAAAAGTCCTTTGGGCCACCACCACCTGAGAGTGGTTCTAAGGACTGGCCATAGAGCTCATAGCCGCACTGAAGGCCCCCCATATGTGCTTGGGGGGCCCCGGGGGAACACTTGGTATGTGCATGACAGTAAAGACAGAAAAGGTCCTGCTCGGAGCAGTTCCTGGGGACGTGATGGGCTCATTTTGGGGTTGCTACTGCCAACTGTTCCTAGGCACCCTTAGACTTAGAATGGCTTCCCTTCCTCTGGATTATTAAGAAATATAACTTGGGGGCGGGGATTTGGGGGTAGGAGGGAGGTTGGTTTGGGGGAGGTCAAGTTTGAACGGCGGCAGAACAGGAGCAGGGAGTTGGGGCCGGGCCGGGGCAGGGCAGGGCTGGGCGGGAGGAGCGGTCAGCTCCCGATTCCTCCACCCCAGAGACAGCCTCCTCCCGCCAGGGTCCCGGAGTGCGCGCGCGCACGTCGTCAGACCGGGTGAGGGAAGTGGGGGTGGGGAGTAGGGGGCGGGGAAGGGGAGGGGTGGGGGAGGGCGCGGCACGCGCACCACGCAGCAGCCTCCCAGGAGTGGCAGCAGCAGCAACAGCAGCCGCAGCCGCAGCCACCCCGGCAACGTCGGCAGCAGCAGCGTTAGCTGTCTGCGCTTTAAATAGGATCCAGCCTGGGGACTCGGCAGGCAGTAACAAACTGTGCTTACTGCCGGCGGGTAGGACTCGGCCTGGGGACAACGAGGTGAGTGAATGAGAAAGGGGAAGAAGGGTCCGCTAGTCTGCCCCTCACCCCCATCCCCAGGCTGTGTTCGCTCGCAGTTCGTGGTACCCTTCACCCTGCGGGAGAGGAGCGGCGGACTGGGGGAGTGTGTGTGTGGCGGGGGAGTGCATCTGCAGCCTTGGTCGTCTTTCCTCTCCTTCCCCTACACTCCCTGATCTGTGGAGCAGAGAAGCAGCAGGGACATGCATGTGCCTTCGCTCCGTACTTGAGCATATCCCCCCCTTCCCTACCTCCCCTGGCTCTCCAGCTGCTGCGAAGCCAGCCGAACCCCTGGCTCGGACCGCTGCTTCCTGTGCATGAGGCTGGGGCCGGTCAGCCTGCCTGCCTCGTTTCCTCATCCCTCTCCTTCCTCCCTGTCCCCAGCCCGCCGGGCCGGGCCGCTCAGTGCAGCGTAGCGCCGGCTCCTGCAAGCATCGTGGGAGAGGTTCTCGGGACAGGCAGCTCGGTGTTTGCGTAGATACTTATCCGGGTTACTCGCGTGTCCGAAGCCGGCCCCATGGTTGAGGCTGTGGGCACTGCCCCCACGGTCACCCAGCCGTCTCAGCCTTTGATATTATCAGGTTGGCATGACTGTAGTCTCCCCGTAAGCCCTCTTTCCCCAAACTAGAATTGTAGGATATACTGGAAGCTGGCGCTATGGGGAAGCTCTCAACTTTAAAAATACTACTACTTTATTAGGGTTAGGGTTATGTCCCGTTAAACGATATGCCCCTAGCCTTTGGAAACACAGCTAGCCCGGGGCACTCTTGTTGTTGCTATTCTAAAGAATATTTATTGAAAGAGTTCGAAATGCAGCCAGATCTCCAGAAGAGGTCCTGGCCCTAGCAAAATGCCCTGGTGGATGGAGTCACCGATCGAAGGGACACTGGGGGAGATTTTCTTGAAGTGTGCAACCGCAGTAACCTTACCTGCCAGAGGAGAATTGGGAGGGTGATGGAAAACTTTTCTCATGTATACATGGGACTTTGGAGTCAGGACAATCTCAAGGGACTCAGTTTTGTGTCCGTTTTAAAACTTGCTTTAAAAAAAAGTAAAACAACTATCACTTCTACCCAGTTTTCATAATGTTAGAGTTGGAGAATGAGCTTTCAAATTAAATCAGTTGAGGCTGGCTAGATAGCTTCTACATTCTTTTATGTTAGACATTTTTGAAAATCTCCTGTGTGGCAGCCACATCACAAGACAGCCACCCATAATGGCAAATACTGTCAATCACGGGATGCTTTTGCCCACATAGTGACAGAATTTCTCTTAGCCAAAAAGAAATGAGCATATTCCTCCCCCCCTTTTTTTACTCCAATTTAGTCATAGCTTCATGTTATGACTTAGAAGCGTCAGGATTGTTCAAATGACAACAGTAAACTTGTGGGTTGTTTTTAAAAATTATTTGTGCTCAAGGTTACTTTTGAACATGCTGGCTGCACAATTGTACTGGCAACATTCTCAATTTACTTAAAATTTAAGTTGACAGTTTGAGCTGCAGGAAGATCAGCAAAGTAAAATGTACTGCTTTCTCCTCAGTTTTCAGTCAGAGAAATTAAATCTTCCCCCTTGCTGCCTGAGTAAAGGGGAGACTTTGGAACTTGGCTGATGTTTCAAGTTGTCATTCAGATTTCAGGACAAGTGCGAAGGGCACACATGAGAACCTGATCCTATTCACATCATATCCATGTCTTAGTGTTTGCTTCCAGGTGCAATTTAATAGCAAGCAAAAATGTCTATTTGTTCTTCATGTGTAGCATAGGGGTGAGGTGCTTGGCAAGACACCGTCTTCTCTTGAGAATCTATTTCTCCTTTGGTTTTAACAGCTGTCTGACAGCAAAACCTACTCCTTGCCTTGTCATTTTAATAAAAAAAAAACCCAACAACTAGTGGTAGTTCTTCCTCTCCCCCAAGTTTGCTAGCATGTTGTTAAACACTTTAAATGTGATGTGACAATGTGTTGATGCAATTAAGTGGGACAGTGTTAGTAATTTATGGAAACTTTCATCAAAGTTGGAGGGAATTAGAAACTTGAAGATGTTATCTGTTGGATTTTACTCCAAATGCTGACAGTTGGGAGGTGAGGGAAAGTGAGTCTGTTTAGCAACGTCCAAACTTTTTTAACAACCTTTTTTTTTTCTTTTCTGAAGTTGTTAATGTAGACTCGGTCCTCAGAATGTTGTCAGGTATGGAGCATTGCCTTCAAGCATATATAGCAGAAGCACTAATGCTACCTACTCATTTGCTTCTAAGACTGAGTAAGAATTGTCAGCAGAATTCTTGTGATTGGTATCCTGAGTCCTTTGGAAACCTTACTTTCAGAACTATGGTAGTCAGTCAGAGTATGTATGTGATGATTTAAGAGCTAGTCACTGAAGGTCATCCCAGACTGGAGGTGGTCAAAAAAAATGCCACAGGGTCATTTTTCATTGCTACGTTGATTGACACTCATGAGTGGGAAGTAATCCAGGCTGAAAAGGCTAGCGTATGTCCTGGGGTGGTGATGAAGGGTATGGAGTAAGGAAGGGTGGTTGGCTTTGAATGTAAACATTGCCCACCTGCTGCCAGAGTCCTTCCTCTGAGTGCATGTGCGTGCCCCCCCCCACTATTACTTTCCCTCTCAGATTACATTCCATTTACTTAGTATATATATTATCTAGATTTCTATATTCTCTCCCCAGGTAGCATGTGAGCTTGTTTTTTGCCTTTCTTTGTATCTCCAGCCCTTAACACAGTGCTTGGCCTGATGGACTTTAGTGGCCTCCCACAGCCTCAGGGAAGGAAGGATCTATCTATGTGTGTCTATGTATGTGTGTGTATAAAGATAGGTAATGATATGAAGAGTATTTGACTCACTGTTCATATTGTCACATTTAAAGTATGTAAGCTGAGAAAAAAAAATGATGGCTGGCAGATTTATGAAGTAATGAATGTTCTTATGTAATAATTTAATATTGTTAAGCATGTGTCAAGCTGCTCTGTGATAGCAGGGAACTGGAAGGTATCTAGAGTCAGGAAGATCTGAGTTCATATCCTCCTGTGTGACCATGGACTAGTCATTCTACCCCCCTCAATACCCTCCAGCAACTTTCAAAGACTTTAAGATGAGTTGTCCATCTGCATCAGTAGAGGGAGTTTCCACAGTGAGAGTGCCCCATCACTGATAAAAATCATAGGCTGCCCAGTCCTTTCCAAAGGAAAAGATTATCTTTATAATATATGAAATTTAAAACTGCCATATCCAGCTGACAAGATTAATACATTTATTAACCCAAACATTGATAATATATATTTCTTATATTCTAAAGTTTTACCATGTAATTCCAGCAAAAATGATGTGCTGTACCAATGCCAACAGTGCAGTCTGTGTTGAATAGTTTTTTGACTTTTTGGGTTTTGAGAAGCCCCAGACCTGTGTCAATTACTCTACATTGCTTCATATAAACTGAAAAATACAAGGGAAACATTGGGTATCATGAAATATTTATTCATAGGATAATAGTAGGAGAAGATCGTTTTGGTTTTTTGCAGGTAGAGGAAGATTTCTGAATCAGTGTTCCTGCAATGTGACCAGTCATTCTCAAGGAAACAAGTTATGAGGTGAAGAATATCTTATTGTTCCTGCCCAGATCAGAATAGTTTCCAGGAAATAGCATTTTGCCTATTAACTGTCTTGCTCTCCCTCCAACTACCTCCCTTTCCTTCTTTGAAATTAATATTATCCTGAAGAAGCAGTGGCCTGCCTGGCCTGAGGTACATTTGTTACATCTGCATTTTGCAGGCTGGACTGAAAATTCTAGAAATGGGATTGCATGTCTCTTACCACTTTATGAATTACCTGTCCTTCAGACTTAAAAATAAAAAATTAACAGGGATATTAATGGACTGTTAACAAAACCCTTTGCCCTAAAGCAATTCTTATTTCAAACTAGTTTGTGGCATGACCCCCTGCTTCATTTTGTTTAGTTACTGAATGTGCCAGGTGGTTTGCTGGGGTAGCCCTTTGGGAGTTATCTTCTAATCCACAGCCCATGGGACTCTTTAGTTGAAATTTCCTAGTGTGTAGGAGTGTAGCTGCAGTAGTCGAGGGTGTTTAAAGAGGAAAGTACTAATTGCCTTTTACACTGTTTCTACATTTGTGGAGGGAACTTGGATAAATGTGACTATCTGTCAGTTTGCACATGGTCTTGGTGACTGTTAAAGTTGGCATGCCTTCATGTTTGTTGTGGAACAGTCTGCCCGGATAAGTAAGTAGCCAGATTCACTGAATGTTAGGTATTTCACTGACTGGCTAAGAAGGCAGTCACAATTTAGTGGCTGAGCCATCCATCTGCTATTGAGCTGGAGGCTGCCTTAGCAGACGGAAGCTTGAAAACAGACTGAATGAGAACTATAGAATATTTGAAACAAACCTCTATGAAATCTGCTGCCTCATTTTCAAGCCCACTCTTTTTCAACTTCCTTTCATCTTAGTTTTTGCCTGTTAGAAGTAAGCTCCTTGAGGTAGGCACTGTCTTTCTTTCTGCTTAGGCACTTAGCACCCTGCCGCCAGGCATTTCATTGTAAGCGTTTCATAAATGCTTGTTGCCTACCTGAATATTGATTGAGAAAGAAATAGAGGATATAAAGGTAAAAATGACATAACCAGGGTCACCAATATTTTTGGGCAAAGCCAGGAAATCCTGTCTCTAAGGTCAGTACCCTTTTCATGATTCTTTGTATTCTTGTTTCATTTCTGTGCCGTTCATATCTCCTGTTAATCTGAGTCATCCCATCATACCAACTAGATGGAACAGAATAAAAATATAAGATTCAGTTTGATTCAGCAGATATTGATTGGATTCCTACTAAATTTGGCTATCACTGAGCAAAGGGATGGGAAGGAAAAACAGATCTGAGGTTGCCTGATCAACTCAGATCCTAGAGCTAGGGAATGGGAAGGACGCAGGTCTAGACTGCTTGCCCTCAAGGAGCTAGCTGACATCTGTACCAGGGATTCTTAACCCTTTTTGTATCATGGCCCCCTTTGGCAGACTGGTAAGACCCTATATTTTTACATAATTGAGGGAAATGCTAAGTTTCAGTTAGAGATTAGTGAAAATAAAGATGTAACTTTTTTCTCATTTAAATTCACAAATTTGTTAAAAAATTTCTGATATAGATCTGGAAAACAACCTACAAAATACTCAGAACTCACAAGACAGAATATGAAAAGTGACAAAAGGTATTCCATAGGCTAAGTACAATAGCGGGGAGAGAGAAAGAGTGGGGGGTTCACTGGGCTTGGAATCAGGGAGACTCATCTTCATGAATTCAAATCCAACCTCAAGCACATACTAACTGTGTGACCCTGGTCAAGTCACTTAACCCTGATTGCCTCAGTTTCCTCATCTGCAAAAATGAACTGGAGAAGGAAATAGCAAACCACTGTAGTAATCTTTGCCAAGAAACTCCTGAATGAGGTCATGAAGAGTCAGACGTGACTGAACAACAAGAGTATCTGAGGAAGGCTTAGCCTCGGTATAGACTGTGAAATCCAGATTGTTCATTTAGTCTCATCCGCTTATTTTATAGTTGAGGAAATGAAGGTAGAAAGGGTTAAGTGACTTGTCCCCTTAGGTAATGAGTGACAGAACTGGAGTTTGAACCCAGGGCTTCTCTCCCAGTCCATCACTCTTCAGTAGCAGAAGTAGAACCTTGGTGCCCCTTGGCCCCTCCAGGGTTATGCCTGGCCTGTAATTTACGTAATGCCTACTATGTGCCAGGAACTGTGCTAGGTTATGGGAAGGAGGTGGAGTGGGGGGGAGGGTTGTGTGTGGACAAAAAACAGAATGGTCCTTGCCCTCGAGGAGCTCCCAGTCTAGAGGGGAACCACATTTATTGCACAATATATACAAAGGAAGGGAAACTGGCAGCCGTAGAGTTCAGGTGTTACTTGAGCGAAATTTTTAAAGAGGAGCTAGGGGACATGCAGAGCTGTCCGTGGTGGCATTGGGATAGGCAATATGGGGGCAGGGGCCCCAGGAACAAGTGCTTGTGCAGGTGATTCTCGGTGCTTTCCCTGGAGTCCTCGTCAGGCTGACCCACGGGGTTTGCTGGCGTGTCTTACATGCTGCACATTGTCCCTGGAAAGAGTCCTCTCGACTCATGCATTTTAGAGCTGGAAAAAATACTAGAAGTTGTTCAGTCCACACCACACCTTTATAATACAGATGAGGAAATCGGGCCCAGAGAAATTAAGTGGCTTGCCTGGTGTCACTCAGGTAGCGAGTAGCCGAGCTGGGATTTGAATAGAGGGCCTCTGGTTCCAAATCCAGCACTCTCCACTGTTGCACACTTTATACTCTTCCTTTGAGACAGTGACATTTTTAGGAAGTCACCTCCCCCTCCTTGACCCCTTTAATACTGTGTCATTGCCCAAGGGTCAGTTCCATCCCTCCCGATAGCTCTGCCCTCATGCTGAGCTTGATTTCTTCCTGTGCCCAATCATGTAGTCCTCTTCATTCGCAGGCTCTCCTGATAGCCCTGCTACTACCTCGGACACCAGGTGGTCGTCACTGTTGAATTGTTTCAGTCTCATCCGTCTCTTCATGACACTGTTAGGAGTTTTCTTAGTGAAGATATTGGAGTGGTTTACCATTTCCTTTTCCAGCTCATTTTACAGATGAGGAAACTGAGGCAAACAGGGTTAAGTGATTTGCCCAGGGTCACACAGCTGCTAAGTGTCTGAGGCCAGATTTGAACTCGGGAAGATGAGTCTTCCTAGACTGCAGGCCAGCACTCTATCCACTTCATTATCCAGCTGCCCTTGTGCTCTATTGCCTTGTCTTAGTAGCTACAGATCTGCAGGAAAAGATGGTAACTCTTTCCCTAGCTACATTGTAACCAGAGTCACTTTAAAATATGTCTGTAGAATTTAGTAGGTGCTGATCAACCAGTAATCAACAAGCATTTATTAAACGCTTGCCATGCCTCAGCACTGTACTGGGTGCTGAGCATATCAAGAAAAAAGCGAAGTAGTCCCTGCCCTCAAGGAGCTTCCATTCTATGGGACAGATAGTAAAAGCTGGTTAATTGTGATTAGGGGCGATTAAGTGACCTGTGGTTTTTCCCATAGTAAGAGGAGTTACCAGAAGTGGAATATGCATTTAACTGTTCAAGTTATATGAAGAACAGAA